TGGTGCATGTTGTCAGTGTAAAACAACAAAAGTTAATGCAAAACAAAGAAACGAAAAGAAGAGTTTGGTGGATGGTGAAGCGGCCGATACAAACTGGTATCTGGGCAGACGGGCTTAACTCAGCTGAGAACACTGGACAGATGTTCCCAGTCAACTCAATTGTATCTCAGCTCCACCCAGCCAAGGACCTGCAGGTCACAAAACATACCCACAGTACACAGGCCGGAGGCTCTGGGGCACGAGTAAAGATTTTATAATCACCATTTAAGAGTTCATTTATATGAGAACATTCATGCATAGTTACATTTCCTATCATAAAATTAATGAAGTTTGGGCACGCAAAGAGTTCTGCAGCCTCCGATTCTTTTTTAAAATGCCAGCTTCAACCCTTTACAAATACTCTGACTCTTCAAACATTGTGCCAACACTAGCAGCTATGGGTTCTTCTAAGCAGCTGTGTAGGTCTCCCGAAAATGTTATTGATGCCCATTAATGCCTACAACGCAGAAGAAGGGAGGGTAACTAAGTGTTTTGCTCATGCCACAATGATGTTTTTATTTTCTTATTTCTGTTAAATTTGTAACATAAAACATAACTATGCATTAATGTTTGCTGAAAGTATTATATTTTATGTTCCACATCCTTTTAAGTAAATTTTTTTTTCACCATTTGTTTCATGCACACACATATAGACATGTTGTAAATGATACATTTATTAAAAGAGCCACATAAAAAGTGCTTATTTTCAGAGTTAGACCAATGAGCTTCCAGTATTATGAGGGATCCATATTCATTCAATATACAGTAGGCTTTATAGTATAAACAAGAACAACCTGTCACCAGACACTGATAGAGAAATACGTTGTTATTTTTCATTGGGCTTGTCCAGAGCAGCAAATGATTTCATTTGAAAAGTGGCACTTATCTCGTAGCATTAAGAGGACAAATTTAAAAGAGATCATATATATATCATATATTACTNNAAAAGTTACTAGCAATCTATCTCTTTGTAATCCTTTTCTGATGTTCCCCGTGCCCTTACGTAAAGGACTGGTGTAGTTGCTGATCCCAATGACTTCACCCTCCCATTTCAAGCACGTAGAAGAAACTATGTTGCCCGCAAAATGCGCAAATATGAAAGGGCCTATATAGAGCCAGTGTTTGGTTTGTCTGTTATGGGCTAATGTAGAAACATAGAAAAGGACCTGCTTGCTTTGTAGATTAAAAAAAGGCTCATTCTAAGGTAATGAAAACACAGCAATTCTTATTTTCAGGTGATTATACACTGAACACACACTGAAAACATACTTATGAATATTATATTTAATTCAATAGAGCCTCCTAAATGTTACACACTGGACCTTTAAAGTCTCATTTTTATCAGCATTAACCAAGGAATTTAAGTTGTATCTTTAAATTTGATTTGATTTTGATGCCATTTCCATGTAGCGTAGAAAGAGAACATTTTAAATTTGTATCCAAATATATGCACTTATCTAATAAAGACAAGGCAGTTGATTAGACACACATTGGCACAGATACTTTCATAACCACCATATGAAAAAAATTACAGCAGTAAAAAGATGAGTGAACTGTACTTTACAGAAAGAAACATTGTGCATTGAGAACAATATTGTATATTGAAAATGTGGAGTTGTGTATCAAATGTCAGGACATCAAGAAATGAGGAATATAGGAAAAAAATATTTTATACACTGTACAGAGGTACATTAACACACACATACTGTACATGAAATTTAAAGGCAGTTCACAAAAAGGTTCATACAAACAGTATTATCACACTCACAGAATTACCCATTTTCACGCATAAAAACTCACTCACAAACCCAAAACATAACTACAAGATTTAATCATTAATTACAGTGCATTAAGTATCAAAGTTAGTTCAGTTATTCCCCTTGTGTGAAATGCCACTTTTCTTTCAAGTTAAAGTGCTTTTAGTAATATTACTAAACATATTTACCCCAATAAACAAGGAAAGAACATTCATATCAAAGAGCATAATATTTTCAGGTGCAACAAGTAACAATGTTGTTAGAAACTATCGGGTACATAAAATATGATACATTCCTTTAAAATCCTTCATTAAAAAATAATAATATGGTTCCAGTATTTTCGCCACCTGTTGCAGGTATTTTATTAATAAAAAAAAAGAAAAAGAAAAACAGTACCGTGATTCAGTGATTAACATCCATACCAGACATTCAAGTACACTGCAAAAATCCTCTCATCGAGTCAATTTGTCTGTAATAGAGTTCCTTTTTTCTTAAAACAGGTGAAACATCTGCAAGTGTGGTGAGAATATTTCAACCTATTTTCAAAAGAAATCCACTTTTTCTGAGAAGTTATTCCCACCAGCCTATGGCTAAATTATAGACAGAAATGACCTGATGAGTTTTTTTCAGTGTTTGAGTATCTTCCAGTTACAGTAAATCAAGTCCTTTCCAAAAAAGAAATATGAATGTAAGTATAGAAAATGGATGACTTGATAATGTGCTGTACATTTGTACATGTTGGGTTTGTAACTTGCTCTCTCTGTAGTTGGTTGCACACACAGATACCTTTGGTATCACTTGTGGTTACAGTAGCATATTGGTATGTGTGTTTGTGTGTGGTTGGGGGGACGGTGGCAAGGTGTTCACTTTCCACAACTCAGATATGTGTACAAGTGGGGGAGGTGTTTTCATATGAGAGCTTGACTTCTTCTGTTGAGCAGCTTCTTTCTTTTCTTCCTGTCTGCCTGTCTACTTTATCTCAGTTTCACATCAACTTTCTGTAACCCCTTCCTGTCTCTGTCTTCCCTCACACATTACTAATACGTACACTTAGTGGGCTGCTATCTCTAATGCGCCCCCTTTCTCGCCCCTTCTCTTCCCCCCTGTAGCTCTCTTCCAGTCGCATCTTCTCTGGATCTGTCCCATCCTCCTTGCCTCTGTGGTGACGGGACGCCTGTGATGGCGGGCTCGGTGGCAGGGAGGTCTTAAAAAAGGGTACGGTTTTGGTTTTGGCCACTTTGTCGAAGAAGGCAAAATCGGCTACATATTTTCCTGAGGGAGACAGGGAGACGACGGGGGGGAACTCATAGCCCCAGAGGATCTCATCTGGCAGGTAGGATGTCCGAACCTGGCAGGTAGCGGAGGTCGGCTCCACCGTGGCACTCATGATCACCAGCAGCTCAAAGTCAGCCAGCTCCGGGTCTGTCCAACCACCACCTGGATGACACAGGAGACCTTAGGTTAACAACAAACTAGAGATTAACAGTAGACAAAAAAAGTAATCATCAAATCATCAAAAGAAATCATTTCTTGTGGCCACTTGGGGGCAGCATAACAAGATATTATGGGGAACATGTTAGTAAAAAGTTGCTTATTTACACGACCTCCAGACACAGAGCAATATTCTTATTCATTCTGAGTCACGTGTCGGGCAGCCTGACAAATGTAGGTCAAACACTCCTTAAGGAAGTATCTGGTTCTTTTGCAGCTAAATTCACACCAGGTGTACACCAGCTAGGCGCTATCTTTGTCTGTCTGGTGTTTGGTGCTCGACAGACACTACAGGTTCATCTGGCCGGACAGCTGGAGACAGAGTTGATGTTGCTGTGCAGAAAACCACAACAGTGAGCTAAAATAAGTAATAAGAGTTATGGGGAACTGTAAAATTGGGTGGTAATTCTTTGTGGGTTACTACAAGTGATACTTTCTCATGGCATATTAACATAATTTGATCCATTGTCAATATGCGTAAAGGAGCTAAATTAAGTAACAGTGTTTCATCACAGATAATTTGGCCTCAATGGAGCTCCGTTAGTAGTCTCATGCCATTGTCCACGAGGGGTTTTAATTATCGTATTCAGCCTGCGCTGTATTTTAGAGGCCAAATCCCAGTTGATTAAAAAGAATGCAAGCCTGGGTCACAGATTGATTCATTCAGCCAAATATGCGGGTAAGGAAAGACACACAAAAACATGCACACACACAAAAGCACAAACACATCCTGAAATTTCCAAAACATAAGAACTCCCCATTTGCAGACCGATTCCAAAAGCACTCATCTCACATGCAAACACTCATTTCATTTGAACACACGCACAAAAGTAAAAGCTGTCGCATGTTGGAAACATTTCAGTCATAAATGTTGAAAAACACATGCAGAATATACTTGACATTCATCGACACACAACCCCAATAACACAAAGACATATGCACTCAAACAAGCACACACCTGCATCAACAGGCCTCACTCAGAATGCAGACTCTGTCATCTGTCTAAACAGTCCTTACCCTAACCCAGACCCAGTACCGCTCCCACCGGGGAAAAAACACCAGGTTTCGCAACCGCTTGTACACACTGCGACAAACTCGGTTGAGGGATTCTCTATATTGACCTATTATGGGCGGTGCAAAGGGCTCATCTGCATTTATGTAGTAATCTTCCTAGGATCCCCAGGATAGGGATGGTAATGTCCGTCTGTCGGTTGGTTGGAAGGGCCACCACTTTGGTCCTTAATATCTCTACGACTGCTCTGTGGATTGCCCTGCAATTGTGTACAGACGTTCACGATTAACAGACTATGAATCCTTACCTGCTTAAAATCAGCATGTTAGCATTGTCTTTGTGAGCATGTGTGTGACATTCATTCATTTAGTTAGCTAGTAAGTGTGATTAGGTATCACACTAAATATGAGTCTATATTTATAATCAGCCCTGCGATGAGTGCAATATTCCCCTCTTCTTTTAGCGTGCTGCAGATTACTGGGGAAACTGAACAGCTGTAAAGAACTTATAGCTATTGTTTATAAAGCAACATTGTTATGATGATTAATTATCATTTTTGGGACCTTTCTTGTCTGCTAGCCACTAATTCTGCTGTTGTTTCACACGCTGCCATCACCTGATCCCTTCACACTTCACACTACCATCCTGTTGCTCATCAACCACTTTTCTCAACTCAAAAGCTTTTTTTTTTCATTCCCCACAGCAGCACCCACAGAGTTTCATTTCTATAGAACATATAGAAAGATGAGTAATCGATGGTGTTTCTCACAGTGTGCAAACACACTTGTTAACCTTGTGTGGTACAATGTATATACAGCTATTGTTAAGAGGAATGTGCTGATATTTTAGCTCAGTGGTTTGGACAGCCATGACCCCTCTCCTTTAGACTGTCTTCACAGTGTTCTGCCCTTCTGATTCAGTGACTCACTGTCACATAATGCCAACAAGATTTACACACTGTTGCACTAGAAGCCAGTATTCAATGTTCCTATCTGAGCTGTTTCCTGCTGAAGGTCCCTGAAAGTTTGTACACGTTGAGAACATAAAGCCAGCGTTGCAGGGAGCTCAAAAGCTTTGTTCAAAGAATCAGTAAGGACAGAAGTCTGCTCAGTCATGAGTATTATCATGAATGTATGTCCAAGAACTGCAGACTTTTTAAAATGTCCGTTAGGGAAAGCCATCCATCCATTCATCCATCCATCCATGATCTATACGTAATTACTGTGCAGGATTGCAGGGAGCTGCAGAGCCTATCCTAGGTTACACTGGGCCAGAGGTAGAGTACTGTAAATCACCTACATCCCCCAAATCACCAAATAAGTTGTAGTTTTGCCATTTTTATTTTGATTTTAATTTATTTTATTTTTAACAAAAGGCTGCATAGGTTTTAAGGTAGTATGAATGATTTCTTTGGTTGTAAATGCTAACTTTTGCTCAAGACCTGCTCACTTGTAGTCTAAGATACTTTCAGTGCTCTGCATGAGTGCTTTTAAGGCATCACTTCCTGATTTCATGACAGGAAATAACTCAGATGAAGCAACACTGGGGACCTGGCCACAAGAACTGGGTACTGTTACAGTTGGCACATAGAACAGGGATTACTGTAGCGCTATGGGGTAGTAGGTCTCGCTGTCCACGTGTAACCCGGTTAAACTATGGCAACAGTTAATTACCTATGAGTCCACAGATTTAACTGCAGAGGACTAATCTAAAACAGGAACGGCTGCAGCTAAAAAAGGTAGGTTATGATGAGGAAGAGCACAGCATAAAGGTAACGTAAGGACATGACAGGAAACAAAATGAAACAAAGAGAATCACAAACCAGATCAAATCAGGTAAATCAAGTGTGTCAAGTAATGCCAAGGAGGAAACTGTCTACAATAAATGAGTAGCGTGAGTGTAAATAACACCGCGCTCAGAGTCCCTCAGTACTGATGCCTTTGAGGCTTCCAGTGCTGAGAGGTCTGCGCTGCTGTAAGTGGATCTGTGCAGGCTTCGTGTCAGCACCCCGGACTGTACAGCATTGTGCTCTAATGAGGGGTGTCTCTGGCGATCTCTCTCACACACATTCCAGCCAGAGAAACCCTCTCCTCCAGTGCCAAATCAGCCAACTCTGAGGCAGCCAAGCACGCAGCACATGACCATAAATACCAATACACCTACATATACAAACATACCGAATGTACATACAGTTATTCTCCAGAGACATACAGTATGGAACTCAAATGAAGACACTGACCATTCAATAAAACATATTATACCTTTTATCATTAAATTATTGTTGGTACTAAAATATACTTTACAAATTCCTGTTAGAAAGCAATAATAATAATAATAATAATAATAATAATAATAATAATAATAATAACCATAATAACAATAATAAAAGATAATAATAACCATAATAACAATAATAACAAGGCAATTATATGTACTTTTGTGCTCTACTGTGTATCAACATTAATATAAAACCCTCATAAAACTATTGTGGTATTTGATATATTTTATTCTATTATTAAAGTTGAAATAATTAAAATAATTTTTTTCTACTATACTGTGTACGCTTTATGTGTGAGATAAAAAAAATAGTGTGAGAGTGTAGTTTTCTTCTTGACATTTATTTGTCAGACCTGCCACACAACTTGGCATGAGAGCCATGATCTACCTTTTGCTGCCCAGGCCCTGAGGGGGCTGTTGTCGTCAATGATGTGGTAGAAAGTCAGGGGGATGATGAGGAAGGGGCTGTCGCTGGATGTGTCCACCTGGAAGGGTACGTTGCGCTGGTCCAGCCGTACTGTCTCGCCCTCCTTTGTGAGTGACGTCTGAAGCAACTTCCCCGTCACCTGGGAGCCAAGATGGAGTCAGTAAATGTAGCCAAGAGGTTGCAGAAGGCATCCTGTAACCAAAAGGCCCCAGGTTTAATACCTGCAATGGCCAATATCTTCATCAAAGGTGATGTGTCCTTGAGCATGGCACAGATTGACATGCTCAGTAACTGACTGTGTCATTAATTACATTTTATACCAGTTAGATTATTACTGTTAAGCAAGCATTGAAAGGACTTTAATATATTTATTTTATTTACAAAATGTGACAGCCTACTACACTACAAAATAATGAATGCTTGCCAATATTTGATAGTTCAACAGCCCTTTTAAAGAGCTTATGGTTCTTATTAAGCTTTTCTGTTATTTTTCTTCACTGCATGGCCTTCTAAGATAGACCGGATGTCAGTGTCAGCAGGTTCAAATACATTTGGCATCAGTTAAAATAACAACAATAACAATAAAGCTCTCCAAAGGTATTCACAGAGATACATACACACACACGAGATACACATAATAGGTATTTTGGGTTGTAATTACTACTGATGAGGGCAACACTCACACAACTCACATTATATAAACTTAAACAACTTGCATACCTGGCATCCTAATAGCAGGCTTTTGCGCATGTTGGCCACTCGGATCATGAGGCAGGGGCGATCCTCATAATTTGACACAACAGCGTGTTGACTAAACTTCACTGTCTCGCCTCTCTTCTTGGGACGAGCAACCTACAAGAGGAGGGAAACGTGTCACGGCCATTGTAAAGGTGGATTTATAATGATTCCTGTTACAACATGATGTAAACACTTCACATAACCTTCAGTTATCATTTACAGGGCTTTTGGATTTCCTCTTTCTCTGTTTAAGATAAGTTAACCTACAGTAAGTGATTGAGTAGTGAAATTACAGGGGCATAAAAGAAAGGTTAAGACTACAAGTGTGAAGGAAACGGTTGAGATAACCCTGCTTTTGACAGATAAGAATGGTAATAATCAACATAACCTGGAAGTTTAGAGCTAAAAATACGGATAGCTGTAATAAAGATACTGGGTGGGGAGAGGAAGAACAGATTAGGGTGAGGAGGTTTAAGGCACCAGCCAGGAATTGTAACATCCCCTGTTGATTAAAGGCATAAAATTCCCAAAGATACTTTAAAGGAAGAACACACCAGTTTTTGGTGAAATCAAGTGTTCATTGTCCTACCAATTAGTGTATACAATTTATTACAATTAATACAAGTGAACACAACAAAATGTGTTTTGTACAACATGTAGCTAAAAGATACAATGTGTTCTCTTTTATAATTGGGTTGTAACTCTACAGTGACATTTCATATTAAACCTTTCATTTGTTTTACAGTTCATACTGACTTAAGAATTGTCCAATGGGATGTATAGTAAGAAAAGGTCAAAATTATGTGTGAAAAGGCAAAAAAAAAACTTTACACTCTTTTCTGTGTAGAATTTTAAAATTTCCAAATGTAACGCCCCCTAGTGGTACCTTCGCAAGGAAGGTGCCAGTGATGAAGATCTCCATCACCATGGTAATGACCAGCTGAAAGATGAGCAGGACAATGGCGGCAGGACACTCCTCGGTGATGCACCGGAAACCATAGCCAATTGTGGTCTGAGACTCCAGAGAGAAGAGGAAGGCTCCTGTCAGGGTCTTCACCTCCATTACACATGGGGTATGGTTGGAAGGGGGGTCAAACTCTGGAAAAAGAACAGAAGATCTTGGGTTTAGGGGTGTAAACAAATTATCAAGGAACATTTTGTTCCCTCTCTCGATGTTCTGCCAGGTCTTTCTCACGCTCTTTCTGCAATGCAAAACTGAATTTCTGCGTGTCTTTCTTCAGTGTTTACTCATTCACAAAAAAGTACTTGTACTTCATACATCCGTTTTTTCGAGAGAGCCAGAGGACTTTTCTCTTCTTTTTTTCTTGGTGTCACGATTTCAATGTTCTCAAAGGTCTTTGAAAATGTAATAAGTATTATCTGATCTTGGCATAAAAAGCAGTCAAAACATTTCTTGAGCACATGAAATAATATTTTCTGATCACAGGAAAATTAAACATGAGAAATAATAATGGGTATTGGCCTCCAGGTCTTCTGCAACATATGATTTAACTAACAGTTGTAAAAGTAGAAGGACAATAAGCAAGATTTTATCTGACTATAATATATCTGTGTGGGGCTGATAAGGTTTATGATCAATACCAGTAACTCATATCTTACTTCCAAATTTGTCTTTGTTTGGTCAACACTCCTAATTTCCTCACTCCATCTAATTGCACTTGTAAGTGCAGATTGACTAGCATTGTGAGGTGTCTCAGGTACTATTACGGGTAATGACAATATGTGTCATTCTCAATCCAAACAAGACTAAGAGTCTACAGTCAGAGGCTCTGCAAGGCTGTACTTGGCTGTGCTTTGGGCTTAACGTGAGCATGTGAACATATTCACAATGACATTGCTAACATGGTGATGCTAAGCAAGTATACCTTCATCATCTTAGTAAAGATATTTGGTCAGTATATATCTAAACATTGAGTTGAAGATGGTGCAAGATGAAAAGTCAACCAAAGTTATTACAATTAATCTTGGGGGAACATGAATGCCTCTACTAATTTGTTGATCACCAAAGTCATATAGGGGTCATCCTCTGGGGATTACTAATATCTGTTAAAAGATTCATGGCAGGCAATCCATCCAGTATTTTCTTGAGATATTTCAGTGTGGACACCTCTAAATCAATGTTGCTAGCAAGGCCCAAAGCCATAGCGAGGTGTGGTGTTGGAGATATATCTCTTTGATGCTTCTGTCTGCAGATCATCATTACTTAAGTGGGCAAAAGGTCTTTCCTGCTTTTATTTTTTTATTATTTTTATTTCTTTTCTCCTCTGATTCTGCACTATAAATCTCCACCATCCACCCTCCCTCCTTCTTACCCAGCAGATCTCCATGCACCATTGCCACCAGATACCAAAGCACTCCAAACAGGAACCAGGTTCCAGCAAAGGTGGCAGAGAAGAGAAAGAACTTGTAGCGCCATTGCATGTCCAGGAAAGTCGTCCAGAGGTCACGAAGGTATAGTGCGCCTCGCCCGCTTATGTGCTCGATGCGTACATTGCTTCGCCCATCTTTGGAGAGGACTCGGCGCCTCCTTCGCAGAGCACTGGGCCCTACCACTCCTGTTCCTCCTCCACCTGCACCAGCACCTCCGGTCCCCCCTGTGGAGCCCAGCAGGGGCTTGGTGATGTCAGTCTGCGTCTGGGAGTGGCATACCTTCTGAGGGGAGGAGCCCTCAGAGGAGGGGGGAGTGGCTGAGGTCATGGCTGGCGCTACAGGGGGTTGGAGACGGATAGAGGAGACAAGAAGAAGAAGAGGTAAGCAGAAGAAGAATGGTGGGTAAAAAGGGCATACATGAAAAGACAAAGACAGGTAAGAAGGGGAGAAAAAGGGGTGTACTGTAGGTTGTACGGTTGTATGGGCAGTAAGATCAAGTGAACAGCTGGTGAGTCCAATAAAAATGTGCAGGATGTGTGAAAAAGGATAAAACAGAGAGCGTTTGATAACCGCATGAATGAGAAAAATGACAGAGTGGAACATTTGGTCCGAGAAGAAGAAGAAGGGGATTAGAAGAACATTTTTCAACTGGACAGTGTTGTGGCTGTCCACGGTGGTCCATTTAAGCCCCCTTTTCGCCTTTCACAGGAGGCAGCTGGCCTTGTCAAAATAAAAGCCTCCTTTCAGCATGAAGGCACAGCTGCTCTTTCACATTAAAAGCTTGATAGTGCAGGCTCATTCACGTGTCGGTTGCATAAGACAGCTACTGAATTGAGATGAGGAGACACTGGTGGCTGTTATTCTACAGGAAAAAGATTAAGAAAAAGAAGTCTTTAAATTTTAATCAAGGAAGCTACTGGACCACCCTCTTCCATTTTGCTAAAAGCAGTTTTAAAACTGTGCTTAACTTTTTTTTTGCCTGTTTTTACTGGAATAGACCTCAATTATGCTGCAGATGTGACAAATAGATGTGCATTATTCTAGATCTAGTTTTTGAAAGTTGAACAAAAAGTCAGTGATGCTCCTGTCCACTGACTTTTGTGTACTTTTGGTATGGGGCTGTTTTTCATGGTTTAAGCAAGGTCCTTTAGCTCTAATTAAGAGGAATCTAAATGCTATTACTTACAATAATATATGTGTACAAAGCAAGGTTCATAAAGAAGGTTTTCCAGGTTTAGTGTGGAAAAACTTGATTGGCCTCAATGTCAACCCCATTCAGCACCTTTGAAATGAACTGCAACACCGGCCTTTTCACCCAGCATCAGCAGCTGACCTCCTTGATGCAGTAGTTTCTAAGCCCTGGAGAAATCCTTACGTGTGGGGTGCCCTGGTAGCCCATCTGGGAGAGTGCATACCACATATAAAGGCTGAGTCCTTACTGCAGCCACCTAGTTTTAAAGATTGCCTGGGCCTTTAGCTGCACATCACCCCCTCTCTCCCTGATGCCTTTCCTGTCCCTCTCTATTGTCACTAACCAAAATAAAGCAAAAATGCCAAAAATAAAGAACTAAAGAAATAGAAAAATAAAGCTTTCCTTCATCAGTGGAGGCTATCATAGCCAGATATTTATTCTTGTAGTTTATGTTCATCAATCATATACACATATCATGTTTAGGTGTCCAAATACATTTGACCATATGTGTGTGTTGAATATGGCTGACTTGAATGAGTGATGGTGTAGTTGTATTCTCACACACTCAAGCTGTTTGTTGTCATTTAACACGTGTCAAGTGAATGCCTGTGCCAGAGAATGGTGGTGTAATGGGATGGGATGGATCAGTATATAAGTGTCTGTGGATCTCAAAGTGCCAGCAGTATATTGACAAAATGAGAAGCCCCCACCCTCCATCTCCCACCCCAACCCCGGGTGCCATGGCCACTTATTGTCACTGTATGGGTTGTTCTCTGTAACCTCTTAACAGTTTTAACCTCATCTGGGCTGCAGTTTCCCTTTCTCTCCGCCCTTTTTCTTTCCTTCTCTGTCACTCTCACTCACTGTTCACTAAATGGCCCTTTTGTCTCAAACGGCCTCTGCTTTCCGGAGCGAATATAACAAAACCAAAAACAAAACAACACAAACAAAAGCCTAAGAACCAAGACGATCTGATACGCTCTGTCCTTTCCTGTCCTTTCTGACCCTTCCCTCTCCTCTCTCCGTGCTGGAGCTCACACTGAGTGAATGAATAGAGATCTGTGTTGATCTGTGCTCTGAATACTAAGATATGGAGGGGGAGAGAGAGGAGGGGGGCGGGGTCAAGAGGAGGGCCATGTGATTGGCCGTGTCCATCTCCAGCTGAACTCTGAACCCTGCAGAGCTCCTGCCTACACATACAGTAAACACACACTCGTGTATTGGACATATAGACCTTTTGAACAGTTTGAACACAATACAATACCATTAATTGTCCAAAGGAATGTTTGATTTGCAAAGCAAGGACCTTACGCACAACATAACAGCTAGCAACTGCACATATAGTCATTTATTCATTCACTATTTGAAGATTAAGGCTGTTGTTATTTTATATTTAGCTCTGTTTTTAGCCAACCCTTTAAGGAAATTTAGGTGATAAATGTGTCTGCCGTTTGGTGTTGGACAAGTAGTTGTGTACAGCAGGTGAAAACAGTGCATCTAGGAACGAGTTTGATGAGAGCAGCGAGAGTAAACGAATTTGCAGGTTGTAAAACCAATGTATTAAAAAATACTAGAACACTTGTTGGAGCTAAGGCAAACTGCAGGGTCTTATGACATTTTTTTGAATGTACATCACACATTCTCAAAGATTAAATAGTGAATTTTGGGACTATTTTCAGCTGCGGATTAATACACATTTGGTGCACATTTGATTATTGCTGGTAGCATGATGGTGTTCTGTATATGGAATTGGCTCGTGATAAACTACAGTATAAGTTAATCGCACTGAAGGTGCATGTCACCCAGTTCAACTGGAGTTATGAGTGAGGGTGAGAATTGCAGATGAGGCTTTAACACTTATTCTTACTTCAGGTCTTTATTGTTGCTTTAGGTCTTTTTGTTGGGTTTGTTGATATGGAAAAACGAAAAACAGAAACGATTCACCACCCTTGTTATTCGCTTATATAAATATCTACTGTGACCAACTGTTCTTAAAGAACATCTACAAAGCAAGCCTATATAGGTATTTAGTGAGCCGAAACAATATTTGTGAAAGTTAATTCAGTCTTGCTGACAGGTAAATAGTTGATGGGAACCCAATTCACACTCTCTTGTGAAATGACTTTTCCACTCATTTGAAACCACATCAAGCGTTAGGAACTTCTTCCTCTTCTGTCCGGCTTCTCC